CTGTTCTAAATTTCAGCTTCTCCACACAATTTTAGTTCCAGCGTTATATTGTTTTTTGTTGAATTCTATAACCAGCTTGATTATGAAGCTTTCTCTTTATGGGTGGTAAGTTAAAATAACTTGAGTCAATGTCAGTGGAATTTCAGTTTGTCACCACATGGTACAAAAATATTGTGTTTTTTCCAAAGAACAGAAAATTCAGTTCAAAGTTTCATGAATAAATGCCATGAAAGCTGATAAAAACACATCTTATCAGTAAAACACTGAAGGTTACTAGCAGCTTCCAACTTTATAGTTCTAAAATCATGGCATCTACAAATCTTTTTTAGAGTCCGTGTCTGTAGATCTTAAAGAAGTAAAAAATTCTTAAATTTCCTTTAAAACAATGCCTTACTTTTTGAGGCAAATATATTGACAAGCTGGTATCTTTTTGTTCTCCTGATTTTATACTGAGTTCAAGTAATCACGTTTTTAATGGAGGTTCTTTTTCATAAACTCTTCTAGTTCGCATCTAACTACTGCATGAAAGTAGTTCGGTCTTGCAGGTCTGATTCACGTTACTTTAGTCTAGATTGACTCCATTTCATGCATTTGTCACTGTTAGACAAAATGGGACCTGCAGAATCAGAAACTGACTTAATTTTGCATTAATGGGAATAACACTGAACATCCTAAATATTCATGATGACTAGAAGCAAAAGCACCACTGATAAAGATGGATCCTGTATTTTCCACATGCAGGACTTTCACCTAAGCTCTGCTTCCTCACATGTATCCACCTTCTGTTCATACTGTTTTCCTTTTTTCACACATTTTCTCACAGACAATGCAAGGAACACAAGGGTTGGTCTTTTTAACACACACTGAACTCTGTACATTTGCCAATAATGTAAGGAATGATTAGTGACACTTTCAGTCTTTTCAAGTTTCTAGATTTAAGTTTGTTTCATATTATTTGAGAGGTTAAATTAAGTGTCTGCCCCTCCACTTCCTTTTGTGAGGTGCTGTAGGCATCCATGAGGTCTCACCCAGTGTCCTCTTCTCTGGGCTGAACAAACCCAGAGGGGCATGCAGGAAGGCAGGGCCTGGGCTTGTAGGATTTCTAGCTATGGAGCATCCAGCCAAGTGACCCATGAGCATCAATGTTCTGGAATGAACAGCCACAACAAAGTATGCAGGTTCCCTTGAAGAAGGCTGGGAACACTGAAGATCTTTCCGTGCTGACAACAATGAGCGTACAATGCTTGATCCTGCAGCAGGACATTGGAGGTTATAAAACTCAAGTTTTTGTTAGGCTCTCAACATTCTCAAACTTGCTGTTCTTACACCAGGATCTGAGTGCTAGGCCTTGTCTCATCACTTGGCTCTCCACTCTGCCAATAGGATCTATGAGAAATTTGTTTCAACACAGAATTTGCAAAGCTTCCAAGTTCCTTACCCGGGGAGCCAGGAATCTGGCAGCGAAGGCTGGCATGGAAAATACTTTTTTAGACATAGGAGGCGATATAGCACATAAATTAGGCAATTTGACTAACTGTTTATAAGCAAGGGCCAGGGAATCACCTTACTGCCATCAGGGACACAAGATAGGATTCTTTCGGATAAAAAGTCACGAGTCTCTTTGTAGTCAGATTAGCTAAGGTGCCTTGAGACACCCAAAGCTTGGCAAGATGGATCTTATTTTGTTTGCAGTTCCCATACTCACGGAGATAAGTCAGAAACATAAGTTCACTTTATCTGGCTTAGAAGCCAGATAATTTAATTATAAATTAATTCTTATACTTCGATCTCATGAAATATTTTGAGACCCGTAGATAGATTATAAATATGCTTGATCAGCAATATTGAACTACTGTTGATAGTAGCCATTTGAACAGAAAGCAAATGTCAAGGACTCAGCATGGGGCTGGAGGGCAGCGTAGAGGAATGGCCTAGCGAGTATAGCCGCTGGCTAATTGATCCAAAGACAACACTAAAAGCTTCATGTGCAAAGAGTCTGTTAATATTTCTTATCAGAACTTGAGAAGGATTCTCAGGTTAGCATTCAAATTTGACAAACAGAACCAGCCAGCTATTCAGCCTTTGCAAAGCAGATATATCTGTTACCTCTTTTTAATTCTTCCACATCAGTATCTGGACCAATCCATCTGCTACTTTTTTAAGAGAACCATGTGAACCATACAGATCTATGTTCAGCTTAATCACATTTTTTTTTTAATCTCAGATGACATTCTTTGACTCTTGGAATGTAGTGATGCACCTCTCTTTTAAAATCATGCCTTCCTAAAGTCTCTCAAATTAAGTACTCCATATCACCATCTTTCTGTTTTGAAAACTTTTAGCCAGAGTTTGCAAGCATTACTGTAGAGAAAACAAACAAAAAAAGAACCATTCTCTTCTAAGAGATCATTATGTGCTGGTGATATCTGTGAGGGTTTAATTCACATTTAATAGAGTACCTGGAACTGCAAGCTGGAGATCACCTAGTAAGTGTGGTCTGTTTGAATGCTGCTTCAGAAGTTTTTAGCTGTTAAAAGTGATTAATTTTTTGAAATACAGAAATACACATGCTCAGGTTTGGCTAATTAAACTTTGCTTCTAGGGCTAAGACAAAAATGTTGAAATATTTTGCTGTTTTTGGATTAACCTGTGGGGACACAAAGCTTCATGTCAAGTTTGTGATGATGGATGAATGTATTATAACAGAATAATTCATATCCAGGAACAGATTATCTTCTTATATCAGTGAGTAGATGAAAACATCAGATTTCAAAATGTTTTAACCACACTACTTGAAAAAATAGAACAACCCTAGTGCTAGCTGTAGCAGGCTTGGTTGGCAGGCTGCAGAGCTCCAGACCCTGTTTCTTCCTGTTCATCTTTACCTTTTGTTCTTAGAACTTCAGAGTTCCCTGCTGATATGTCAGGGAGTGAGCCCTACCTCTATGCAGATACTGGCTTTGAGGAAATTGAAAACTTGCATTCTGATACGAGTGCTGAAAAAAGCAATGTCCTCAGTTACAACTGTTATAGGGTTTGGTGTAGTACATATGGGACAGAAAGGATCCTTTTCTGCAAATCCATTTGTCTCCTGTGGGCAGTAATCATTCCTCCAGTGGAGAGGACCTACAGAGGGTTCTGTAAACTTCTATTATCCTGTTAAAGTACTTGTTGTTCAGGCCCTGACTCTTAGCTGAAGACATTGCTAAGGCAATAGGGGGTACCTGAGGAGGAAATTGCCATTGCTCCTCCAATGCTTCTTTTAAAATATCTTTTTTTTCAGTTTTCAATGTTGTTACATTTAGGAATTGCTTACTAGGAAATAGAGGAGAGAATAAGAATGCTTACAATTCATCTCAAAGAGATAAAATTATAACTTTCCAAGGAACAAGTAAACGCTTAAATTCCAGAGACCCTAACAGAAAAATAAACAGCACAAGTTCAGAGAACAATGGCAGCACTAAGACAAATTTCTATGGAAATGGACACGAAAGAGAAAATGTTTATCAGCTCTGCAGTTTTTAAGGCCAAAATGGGAAAACTGTAAGTTTACTGTGAAATTAAAAAAAAAAAAAAGGAAAAAGTCAGAATGTTTGCACTGCTGAAGGGCAAAGGCAGTGGTGCAGTAACTCAGGAATTTGGGTATGTCAGCTGCAGACTTGGGCAGTCCTCATACAAGCACAGAAATTCGGCAGTTCAACAGCTCCTTAGACATTAAGTATTTTTTTTCAAGTCTTCAAGAGTTTGAAGTTGGGAGCAAAGACAGTGGCTTCCAGAATCATTCGTTCATTTTGAAAATGCTTTTCTTCTGATTTTATAAAATATGTCTGTTTAAACTTACAAAAAAAAAAAAAAAAATCTGTGTAGCCACAGATTTTATAAATTGGAAGTCACAGATAAACACTTTAAATGAATTCTAAACAAAAACACCCCAAACATTTCCTGCCATTTCTCAGAGGTTTTCAGTATCACTTTCATTGCTAAACCTGAAATACACCAAGTATAGAGAAGAAATACTAACAATCACTTGCCAAACAAAAGCTTTCAGCTTTGGCTCTCTACTGAACTGCATTCACTGAATGGTTCTATACCACGAAAGACCATCGCTCACTGTAGTTAACTGCATTTGGACTTTTCCAGGCACAGTGCCATCAACAACTTCCTTGAGGTGGAATGGAATTTTTTCACTATTGGAAACAAGAATAGCCACAACAGAGACAGACTGCTGAAAAGGATGAACCACAGAGGCTCAAGTAGGAACTTTCAGAGTAAGTAGAGCACATCTGTTAAGATCATTAGTGAAGTGAAGTGAAGTGAAGTGAAGTGAAGTGAAGTGAAGTGAAGTGAAGTGAAGTGAAGTGAAG